GATCGTCTAACGTAGATTGTAGGGTGTCGCATTCCAGTGTACCGGAGGGTAAATGGACCAACCTGGTGTGAAACCCTTCAGTCATTCCCAAAATAATATAGTCAGTGAAATGACGTGAAGGATGTAGTTGTAAAAGTGAGGTCAATAATGTGATGTTCACACACGTGTGATATGGTTTGGGGAATGCTTTATTCGGGCACATAGTTTTGGCATGGGCCCTGAAACAGTGGGAACATACATGCATCAGCCTACAAGAGCTGAAACCACAATTCCCCTCATTAAAGTAATTGCAAACCTGGGATTTACCTAGAAATACAATATCCCTACCCAGTTTGTCTTTCAATCCCCTGGCAGATTTAGGAAAGTTAGGGGTGGACTCCTTAAAAAAAAACCGTTAAAAACCCACTTCTTCATAAAAGCGTATCAATTAAACTGTTAATAGCTCCTGACTGATTCCTCTTCTGTAACTCATTAGTCTAATACTATCCTTACCTTTTTGTGTCATTTTACCCCACTCCCTCTAGCATGTAAGCTCATTGAGCCCTCTGTTCCTGTGTGTCCAACTTGTCTGGTTACAACTATATGTCTGTTCGTCCACCCATTGTAAAGCACTGCGGAATTTGACGGCGCTCTATAAAGATCATAATAATAATAATTTCTGCTGTGTTTGGGCAGAAATTTGTGTGATGTGCTGTAGATGCGCAAACTGCACAAGCGGGAGGTCTGAGGCCTGCAAAATGCCTGCAGACTAACTCAGTGTCCAATTTGCTCCAATTAATGCTTAAATTGAAGTGAGCCAGAGCTGCAGCCACCTTTGCAGAAAAGGAATGGTGGTAATCGTAAAAAGCGGTACCACCGTATTTGTGCCACAGGTCCACCAGCTTGCATCCACCTCTGCTCTTTTCCCCGGGTATACTGAGCAGTAAACATCCCTATAAATCCCAAAACCCAGTACAAATTCAGGTATTGACAATTTTTTGTTCAGCCTCGGGTCTCTTGCCCTTAGTACAACTGATATATCCAGGGCCAGATTAAGAGCCCAGTGGGCCTGGTGCTGACAATTATGACGGGCCTAATTACAGAATCATATCAACCAAAAACAGTAAAACACTCCCAAGCGTCATGTATCTGATGGAGATGGTGCTGGAGAGAAAGAAAACAGCAGCTATAAGAAAACACATACCCCAGGCTAATCTCTCTCTAATTTATGTTTTCATCTTTCAAGTAAATCCATAACCCCTAACAGCAGTGTCCAGTCAGGCAGGAAGTCAATGGGCACGGTAAAAGGGTGTGCCACTGACACAAATCACGTAACCTGCCAAAAGGGGCAAACATGCCCAAAAAGAGGATATGTCTGCCCAAAGAATTAGAAGGCCAGCCTGCCTGCCAATCATGCAGCTGGCCAACTAAGGGCATACTATGCAGACAGCACCCTGAGATTGGCATAAATGCATCTAATGATGCGCTCACTCAAGGCTTTCTAAGGACTGTCCCCTAGCACTCGCTGGTCCACTTGTCTCCTTACCTTCTTACTAGCAGGCAGAAGCTCCTGGTATATAGTCTGGGACAGAGAAAAGCTATATGTAGTGAGTGTAGAAGAAAGGGAACATGCCACAGTGTTAGAGAGACCAAAGTCAGCATTACCTTAAAGGATCACTATAGGGTCAGGAACACAAACATGAATTCATGACCCTATAGTGTTAACACCACCATCTTGCCCCCCCCCTGGGCCCCTCATGCCTCCATAAATATAGCAAAATCTTACTGTATTCAAGCCTGGAGCTGTAACTCTGCATGCTGTTAGACTCAGAAAAACAAGCAGTCTGCTGACATCATTAATAGTGGTGGCCTAATCCAATCACAGTGCTTCCCCATAGGATTGGCTGAGACTGACAAAGAGGCAGATGAAGGGCAGAGCCAGCATGATTCAAACACAGCCCTGGCTAATCAGCATCTTCTCATAGAGATGAATTGAATCAATTAATCTCTATGAGGAAAGTTCAGTGTCTGCATGCAGAGGGAGGAGACACTGAATGTTTGGATGCATTTTAGGCAGCCATGACCCAGGAAGGATCTCTAACAGCCATCTAAGGAGTGGCCAGTGAAGTTATCACTAGGCTGTAATGTAAAGACTGCATTTTCTCTGAAAAGACAGTCTTTACAGCAAAAAGCCTGATGGTAATGATTCTACTCACCAGAACAAATTCAATAAGCTGTATTTGTTCTGGTGACTCTAGTGTCCCTTTAACTATATTCATTGTCAGCCAGTTCACACAAGTTTTGTTCTTATCCATCCCTCTTAAGTTTCCATACTTAAATAAGAGTATGTGAAAAGTAGTTAGGGTTGCCACCTTTCTTGGAAAAACATACCGCCCTTGCTAATTTGCATAATTAAATATGTATGGGTGACATCACATGATGTAAATCACAAGGAGTGACATAAGAGAAAATGCTGTAAAATCACCAAAAACTACTTAGTTTGATTCTGCTGTATAGATGGATTCCTCCCAGTGCCCCCATGTCTCCCAGTGCCCCCATGTGTCGATTACTCCAGGTCTCAGTGTTCCTATGTATCAGTGTCTCAGTGCCCCATGTCTCCCAGTGTCCCCTAGTGTCGTGTCCCCAGGTCTCCCAGTGATCCTATGTATCACAGTGTCTCAATGCCCATGTCTCCCTATGTCCCCATGTATCCCAGGGTCCCCAGGTCACTAGGAAGATGGGAAGACCTGGGGACACAGGGAGACCTAGGGACACGGAGACACCAGTGACACTGGGAGACTAGGGGACTCTGGCTGGGATGCATGGGGACACTGGGAAAATAGGGGACACTTGAAGACATGGGGACACAGACACCAGGGACACAGACACTAGAGACACTGGCTGGGGGACATTGAGACATGGGGGCACTGTGAGACACAAGGGCCAAAGACACTAGGAACACTAGCTTGGAGACATGGGGACATTGAGACACTTGAGGCACTGGGAGACATGGAGGCACTAGGAGACATGAGGACAGTGAGACACTGGCAGATTGGGGGCACTGGGAGACTAGGGGGCACTGAGACACCAGGGACACTGGCTGGGAGATATGGGGACACTGTGTCCCCATGTGTCTGTGTCATAATGTTTCCCAATGTCCCTTAGTGTCTCAGTGTCCCCATGTCTCCTTGCAGCCTTCCCCCCCATCCCTTACTTACATGAGCTGTAGGCTGTCTCTGCAGGGTGGGAGTTGCTGTCTGGACTCTCCGTATCTGCACCCCTGCAGATCAGTGAGTATAGATAGGCAGGGAAGGATATGCTGGAACTTCCTATCCCTGCCTGTCTCCACATACAGCGACCCCTACTGGCCAGTGCTGGTATTGCATAGTAATCTCTTGTTTATACTGAGAAAAATACCAGCATTTGTATTGCCAGTATCACTGTAATATTGGCACCAGCCAGGCAGCCTCAAATACTGGCTGTGCCAATAAAATAAAAGCCAGGTGGAATCCCTAAGAGTAGTATGTGAAAAAAAAAAAGTAAAAAAAAAAAAAAGTTTTTTTTTTTTTTTTTTAATTAAATCAATGGGCCTATTCCATGGGCCTGGGCCTGGAGCTGCAGCTCCATCAGCCCCTATGTTAATCCGGCCCTGATTATAGTGTGTACAAGCCAATATCAGGAGAATCTAAATGTTTTGATCCCCATTTCCAACCCCGTACAATTTGGTTGGTAATTCGGAATAGTAACTCCCAGGGGACATTACTAAATAGGACTGTGATAAGCACCATACATTCCACGGGTATTCTACTATTTGATGCATGTAAGGCGATTTCGGGTAGTGGAAGACTTTGGAATGTATGTGGTAATCTTAAATGGGAACGAACTTATGGGTTTAATGATAAATACTTATGTCCCAGTAAAAGATCTACTGATCCTGATTGCCCAAATAGAGACTAACTTCTGCCCCTATTGGTCATGTGTAGGTTGGGCAACCTGGGAAAAACAGTGGATCAAGATATGATTATCCAAAGGTTGCCTACCACACCATACTGTAAAACTATGTGTGTAACCCCGTTCACATGACCATTTCCAATCTGCAGTACTTTATTGACAGGTTTGGAGGTCTGTTTGGGTTCCAAATATATGGCACAGGAGTAGATTCAGGAACAATAATATATGTAGGTCTTGAAACTGAGACAGTGGCAACTCAAACTCATCAGGTTTCTCATTCCTTCTATGAGGAGATGAGTATTGAGGATAAAATTCCCCATAATGTTAACAACCTATTTATTGATTTGGCTGAGGGTATTGCAGGTAGTCTTAATGTAACTAATTGCTATGTGTGTGGAGGTACTAATATGGGAGACCAGTGGCCATGGGAGGCAAAGGAAATATGGTACCCTGGCTCTGAGACATATGAACAACAGATACCTTTCCAGTCTGATCATCAAGTAAGTACTAGAAGTAAATCAGAATGGTGGTTAAAAACCTCCATTATAGGTCATGTTTGTATAGCCAGGAAAGGGACAATGTATAACACGTCTGTAGGTGAGCTAACTTGCTTGGGACAAAAAGCCTATAATGTTAATACTAAAAATACTACTTGGTGGTCAGCTTCAAATGTCTCGGAACCTACTAATCCGTTTGCCAATTACACTCATTTAAAGGAGGTATGGTTTGACTTACCGGCTACATCTAGTTGGAAAGCCCCAGCAAATTTATACTGGATTTGTGGTAAGAAAACTTATTCGGAGTTACCACAAGATTGGGAAGGGGCATGTGTATTAGGTATGCCAAAGCCATCCTTCTTCTTGTTGCCAATCGAAACAGGAGAGACCTTGGGAGTTAAGGTTTACGATGTAAATCATAAAAGGGAGAGAGCATCCTTGAATATAGGTAGCTGGGAAGATAATGAGTGGCCCCCTCAACATATTATTAATTATTATGGACCAGCTACTTGGGCAGAAGATGGCACTTATGGATATAGAACTCCGATATATATGCTCAACCGCATTATTAGACTACAGGCGGTAGTTGAGATTATTACTAATGAGACAGCTCAAGCGCTTAATCTTCTAGCTAAGCAAAATACCAAGATGTGATCAGCCATATACCAGAATAGGTTAGCCCTTGATTACTTACTAGCAGTAGAAGGAGGTGTATGCGGAAAGTTTAATCTAAGTAACTGTTGTCTGCACATAGATGATGAAGGGCAGACAGTGGCTGAACTTACAAGCCACATGGTTAAATTTGTGCATGTACCTACTCAGGTCTGGAATGGGTATAACCTAGGTAGTTGGTTTGGAAGTTGGTATGAGCAGCTTGGAGGAATTAAGACATTAGTAGGAGGAGTAGTTTTTATCATATTCTTATGTCTTTTTCTGCCCTGTCTAATTCCATTAGTGGTCAGGTCCCTACGTAGTATTATAGAGAGTACTATAGAGAGAAAGACAGCTGCCCATGTAATGGCTGTCTGGAAGATATGATCCCCTAACCCGAAGAGAATATATTCGGGATGAAGAATATTGAAGGAGTTTTTAAGATGCTTACAAGGTCTACTCTGGTTCAATGGCTACTTGAGAGATGTAGGTAAAACTGTGATTGGTGATGCATCTGGAATAATGTTATATCAGAGGCATCAAAGGGGGGAATGTGATGGGATTCCAGCATGGTCAAAATTTAGTAGGCCAAAATCTCCATGTGGCATATGTGTATGTTGTGTCAGTTGGTTAGCTACATGTAGCTAGGATACTGTCATCAGTGTACTGAGCATGTGCAGGAATGCAGGAACTGGAATTGCACTTATTTCCTTTTGTCTTGGATGAGCCATGTGGTTTGACTAGATGTACAAGTCTATATTCTGCTCATTGATTGGTTAAAGGTATATGTGGGTGTAGCTATTAATGGGAGGAATTATAGTGCTATATAAGGAATGTACACTATGTGTTGGTCTCTCAGAATGTTGGAACAGGAGTTCATCTGAGACCCGATCGGTAATGTGAATAAAGGCCTGTTACTTCCTGAAGACCTGTGTCCAATATTTCTGTGTTTGGCTTCTGCATGCTTACACTGCAACACTAATATGTGTAATAAACATTGGAGATTTAGACATACATAAATTGCCAAGATGTATGCATACCACCACTGCACCAAAGTACTCCAATTACGGTGGGTCCTAACTGCCTAGATATGCATGACTAAATAAACAATAATAAAACACACACAGCACTTACCTGCAAAGGAATGAGCAGAGAAAATGAAACCACTGCCTGCAGGACCAGACTGAAACAAAGGATTAATGGCAAAGGAACGGGTGTGGCAAGAAAAAACAAACATTTAAAGGAATCCAAGAGACTGGGAATTCCAGGATCGGAATAAAGGAATGAACCCAGAAAACCCAGCATAAAGAAAACCAGACATAGAATAGAAAACTAGAAAAAACAAGAAAAACTAAACAAGAATTGTAAAAAGAGTACTGGATACCAGAAGCCATCACTAGAAATGATCCGCAGCAGGAACAGGATGTGACATGCACGTTCCAACGTCATATGACAGCCGAAAACCTATCCATGTCTTCTTAAAAAATATTTAAGCTCCTTTGAATCTGTTCACAGTGCCCTGTCGTTGTTTCCTTGTGGTTATCCAAGAGCGCATCATATTTATTGATTTTATTGTATTTTGACCTGGCGTGTATTATTCTTACCCTCTATATTACTTAATTCTAGCTTATATTACCATTTGGAACACACAAATGAGTCAGCGCTAATAAACCAGATAATATTAGACAGACAGCAGCCCTAAAAAAGGGAATCACTCTTAGCCCTTTAAAAGAATTAAAAAAAACAGTAGAGAAAATGAAAGAACTGCGCCAAACTAGAAAATAAATCTATTTGCAAATCAATACAGACAATATTTATAGTCCCAAAAGCTTTTTCCTCACATATAGTAGAGCCTCCAACTTGGAGATAAGTGCAATTAGAGGTATTTGAGCGTGAATTTCTTCAAAACAACAATGACTAGGCGCTCACTAAAATAACAGGGTGGAAGGCAGCAGTGAACCAGCAAGTATCCCAAACCTTTGCTAAAATACAAAAATGTGAAAGAAAAAGGTTTGGTAATCCACGCCAAAGAAGAAAGGTTTATAAGACAAATTAGTAAATATACATACACTATATGAGGTCCAATGATGTATGGGTATATGATGACCTAAAGACAAAAATGAGATAGGAAAAGATAATAGTGCAACATGTCAAGCAAGTTTTAAAACATCTTTTAAAACCCAATAAAAGACTGACTCACACTTTTTAGAGCTGCTAAGAACTCTGCTGCTTAGCACGTGGACAGTTCAATCCCTGTCTTAGGATATATAGGTATTCCTTGTATTGGACATCCAATTCTCAGCAGTCATATAGTTAAAAGAAACAAAGGAAAAAGAATCAATGGCACAGTATATTGTAAGTAATATAATATATAAAAACAGGTAGGTATCCTACTTACAATTATCCTACTTACACCATACGCTTATGGTGGTACAATCCCCACCTGGGTTGTGCAGGAAACAGATGTAGTAGAACAGCAGCAGGATTAGGTAAAATAATAAAAACAGGGTTATATTGTAACAGTTAACTTTATTGTATTTTTAAATATAAAGTAATAAAAACAAATATAGTAAAATGGCAAAGTGCTCCAGTCCTCACTTAACGCGTTTCGCCTAGATTTGGGCTTCTTCAGAAGTGTGGATGCTCATGTGAATGTTCATATTTAAATAGGCAGTTAATTCAATCATCCCGGTGTGCTGTTCTTACTTCTGTTCGAGGTTGTGTAAGTGATGCGACGTGAACCTCCGTGGTATGTTGGTTAATGTAGTTGATCCTGTGGTCGCGTCACTTTCACATGTATTGGTACCTCCCTCTTCACGTTACGGTGTGTGACGTAATGGGTTTGTAGATTGAGAGGCAGAGTGTGCTAATAGCAATATAGTAAGCACTCCGTCGGCCATTTTATTTATGGGCAAGCATAAGAGAGGGAACATATACATGAGAGAGGGAACATATTATATATATATATATATATATATATATATATATATATATATATATACACATATACATACACTTCTCAAAAAAAAATAAAGGGAACACAAAAATAACACATCTTAGATCTGAATGAATTAATTATTCTTCTGAAATACTTTGTTCTTTACATAGTTGGATGTGCTGACAACAAAATCACACAAAAATTAAAAAAATGGAAATCAAATTTTTTCAACCCATTGAGATCTGGATTTGGAGTCACACTCAAAATTAAAGTGGAAAAACACACTACAGGCTGATCCAACTTTGATGTAATGTCCTTAAAACAAGTCAAAATGAGGCTCAGTAGTGTGTGTGGCATCCACATGCCTGTATGACCTCCCTACAATGCCTGTGCATGCTCCTGATGAGGTGGCGGATGGTCTCCTGAGGGATCTCCTTCAAGACCTGGACTAAAGCATCTGCCAACTCCTGGACAGTCTGTGGTGCAACGTGACTATGATGGATGGAGCGAGACATGATGTCCCAGATGTGCTCAATTGGATTCAGGTCTGAGGAACGGGCGGGCCAGTCCATAGCATCAATGCCTTCGTCTTGCAGGAACTGCTGACACACTCCAGCCACATGAGGTCTAGCATTGTCTTGCATTAGGAGGAACCCAGGGCTAACCACACCAGCATATGGTCTCACAAGGGGTCTGAGGATCTCATCTCGGTACCTAATGGCAGTCAGGCTACCTCTGGCGAGCACATGGAGGGCTGTGCGGCCCCCCAAAGAAATGCCACCCGACACCATTACTGACCCACTGCCAAACCGGTCATGCTGGAGGATGTTGCAGGCAGCAGAACGTTCTCCATGACGTCTCCAGACTCTGTCACGTCGGTCCCATGTGCTCAGTGTGAACCTGCTTTCATCTGTGAAGAGCACAGGGCACCAGTGGTGAATTTGCCAATCTTGGCGTTCTCTGGCAAATGCCAAACATCCTGCACGGTGTTGGGCTGTAAGCACAACCCCCACCTGTGGACGTCGGGCCCTCACAGTGACTGTTTCTGACAGTTTGAGCAGACACATGCACATTTGTGGCCTGCTGGAGGTCATTTTGCAGGGATCTGGCAGTGCTCCTCCTGGTCCTCCTTACACAAAGGTGGAGGTAATGGTCCTGCTGCTGGGTTGTTGCCCTCCTACGGCCTCCTTCACGTCTCCTGATGTACTGGTCTGTCTCCTGTTAGCGCCTCCATGCTCTAGACACTATGCTGACAGGACAGACACAGCAAACCTTGCCACAGCTTGCATTGATGTGCCATCCTGGATGAGCGGCACTACCTGAGCCACTTGTGTGGGTTGTAGACTCTGTCTCATGCTACCACTAGAGTGAAAGCACCGCCAGCATTCAAAAGTGACCAAAACATCAGCCAAGAAGTGAAGTGGAAAAATCAATTAAAGTATTGATTATTTCTTTGTGTATCTGCCCCTGGCCAAATCAATGAAACTATGCGTGCACGCTCCCTGAAGTAATTCACGCCAGACACAGGTTCTAGGTTGTTGAATAACTTGAGGAAAGTTTATTCAGAGGGGACGGCAAGTCCCTTTTAAAGCAAAATTACATCATATGCATTGTCAGAGATAACATGGAATAATACATCAATAATTGGTTAGGTGTTAAGTGGTTGCTCTAATGCTCTGCCTACTGCAGGTGATGTCACCGGGACCATGAGGGTCTCCCACGGTTTTCCGGCGCCATCTTGTTACACGAGGTGGTTAGTCGATGTTTAAAAAGGGAGGGGAGGGGAAGGAGGGGTTAGAAGCTTCTAGCAGCCATCTTGATTGAAATATGTGTACTTAGCTTTATATGTGAGATATATATATATATTGTAAAATGAGTAAATAGACATTTTCCTTTAACTAGGAAATATGTGTAGACCTTATTTCCACAACAGTCCCCCCTAAAATGGCTATTTACCATTACAACTGCTGCTGTCCCTAATATGTCCCTAGTTGCCCGCAACCTATCTGCCTTGACAAGCATCGAACACTTCACTCCGCGGGTATCCCGCAGTGGCTAACCCACTACATCTCCACACGTGAGACTCACCTGTCAAGACAGATGCTTTCCCTACTCTATCCCTACAAAAAAGCAGTTGTCTGTTTAAACTGATGTGTTTGTAGGGGTGTATGTGGGGTGTCATCTTCAGGGTCTGTGATATCCTGATGTATGAAGGTAGGGGTCACATTATCTACAGTCTTATCTACCGCTTTCTGCAGATATTTCTGTATACAGGGGAGTATACAACAGGCTGAGAACAAAAAGATAAT